CGCTGCTATAGAAGATCTGGGGCCACCCCACGTGGAAAAGTACTCCAAACTACAGGGAACCAGAACAGAGACCTTTGCTAGCGCAGGCAGAATATCCACTCAACCCCTGCACGATTCTTAGAAAAGACACTTCATGTGTAACTAGTAAATGAGCAAGTAAAAACAGATACCTCACATGCTAAAGAAATCTTTATGATGAGCAAGGAGACCGACCAGTAGCCAGCAGACCTATTTTTCTTGGCAAGTTGAGAATGAAACACTGGCATTTCCCCTTTGAAAAGTGTGTGGTGCAGCTTCTGGATGCAAACAAGTCTTCCTTTGTGTTCCTCCTGGCATTAGCCTACTTCAGCAGTCGTATTAAGAAAAACTAAACCAGAGTCAGTGAAGTCATCACGCCAGTTCCTCTCTCACTCCTTCTCAGATATCCCTGAGTAATTTCTGAATGTGGACTTCTGTTTGCTGTACCACACGATTCACGCTGGCTGTCCCCATGCTGCCTGAATCCTCCCTGCACCTGAATCCCCTTACGTGGTGAGCCAGTGTTTGCTCAGTGTTTGCTCCAGGCTCAAGCCAATCTCAACTAACGTGGAGGCTGCGTGAAGACCTGGAGAGCGTGCACTCAAACGCAGAGCTGGTGTCTGTGCTAACCTGATACACCTGAATTGTGAGTGATGCCAGACCATTAGGGAAGTGGAATTCAGCCTCAGGAAATAATTAAATCCATTGTCAATATTTAGAATAAAACTTCTGTATAATGGGGCCAGACTTGCTCATAGAAAATATTATTGGTATAATAGAAACTGCTGTACACAAACTATACATCATTGGATCAGTTTAATATAATAGTTACCTTTAAGTCATTGTTACTTACATGAAAGTGAAAAAACCCAACATTTTCTCAAATAGTTGGCAAGCTAGTACCTGTAGAAATACCACCTCCCCGAAAATAATCTCATAAATACTTGTCTCATTAATTTTCACAGAGCACAAGAATGGAACTTAAATAACATTGATTCATCCACTTTTCCAGTGGGAAGGAAATCCCCTCTTAAAACCAAGCTCCTCTCACATAAAATTTTGTTCCCAACAGCCCTGATGCTACTTTCCATTTGGCAGATCTGCAGCAGCAGCAGCAGAGTAAAGATAGAAGATACAAGATTTTCAAAGGAGCCAAAGGAAATACAACACATGGTTTCCACCAAATCGCAGTGCCAGCTGGCTCTCTGTTGTCTCTAGGCACACAAAAATTCAAGGTGGACACAGACGGGTATGCAGCAGCCAAGGGAAGCAATTTTGTGCGGGCTAGTTTAACATTCCTGCACTTAATGACCTCCTCATTAAAGCCAAGACTATGAAGTTTATTACTCAGTCAAGAACAGTCTACAGAATAAAAAACCCCAAAACCTTAGAAGTAGTAGATAGCATATTAACTGTTATACTATTATCCCAGCCTACAGTCTCATGCAATATTATTAGATTTTGAACTAGTGGCAACTCTGGATTGTAAATTACTCAAGAAACTAACTTAATTTTAACTGATGTATACAGACTAGACACTTGTCCTCAGCTTTTGACTAAGAACGTATATAAAAATAAGCATCTTCTACTTAATACTTTTGTTTGATATAGCTCTGTAATGTTCACTACTGGATCATTGATTGGATGATGAATGGTTACTGAGATCACTGAAACTGTGTGATTATCAGCAACATCTGTGTTCACCCAAAACAATCTAGTAAGGTCTCCATTTCAGTATCCTCTAAATCCCAAAACTCAATTCTTGGCCAGTTAAAGGCTAAAAGTTATAAAAGTTTGTAAACATTAAGTATTAAAGGTATTGCAGTATTAAGTATTAAAAGTTATAGGTTGAGAATAATTTTGAAACAACTACCATAAAATCATAAACTTTTCAATAGTGTCCTCCATAATCAAAGGTAAAAATATTTTATTTGAACATTCATTATCCAAATGAAGCCAGCACCTCAGTATACCACAGGAAACTTCCCCGAAGTAAAGCAAGCTTAAAAGAAAAAAAAAAAAGAAAAAAAAAGCTGGAGTAGAGGACCCAAAGAATTGCTCATTGCCAGAAACTAGACAGCTGCTTCAGAGAGTAATGGAGTTTGTCCAAGCCCCTGAACTTTCAAAACAAAATTTCCCCTAAATTCTGTTATATTACCCATTCATAAAAGGTTCCTAGGCAAAGTCTGCTGGGAGGCTTTGGGACAGTATCCTCTGTCCAAGGGGTACCCACAACCAGGAGGCACTTGCCGGTCGGTTGTTTCTCACCAAGCGCAAAGCACAAGTATCCTGAAACCAGATGTTAATTTTGAGGCCTGAGGCCACGAGTGTTGAACTAGCTAGACTTCAGGACTGTCTTCTTCAAATGGATTAACCATGGGGAGACCTTTCACTCCTTTGAGGTAGCCTCAGATGTTCAAAGAAGAGCACAGGCACTTTTATGAAGGGTATTAGCACTCTTTTTCAAAGCTATTCTGAAGCTGCGGTAGGAAGCGCAGGAGGCAGTTTCACAACATGACTTCAGAGACAACACTTAGGAGCCTTAAAGTGTTTTGTCCCTCACTCCCAGCCCATGGTGTGACATCCAGGACAGCAACTTCAATCAGGAAAAAAACAATTTTGTCATCCAAAAGCATAGTGTAACACCCGATCTCCGTGCCATGCCCCACGCTTTCTGTTTGTTTTGCCAGGTTAGTTTTCAGACGGACGAGTTCCCCGGCCCAGCTCCCTGAGTGGCTTCACTTACATGTGCCCGCACAGAGGTGGTGGGAACACAGAGCTGGGGACAGCACGTGGCGGGGAGGGCTGGCAGTTTGGGGCTTGCACCAAGTTAGAGAGCTCAGGTGGGCAGCGCCACACAGGGACATAAAACTGCTTTAACTCTGGCTCAGCTCACTGTCCCAGTTTGCAGGGGAGCTCCATGAATAGCTGTGCTGGTACGGCTGGAGGAAGAATAATAATATGGGGCCAGAAATGAGCAGGCGTGGGTGGAAACTGAGGAGTAAAAACCCCTTCAGCTGTGATTGTCACTGAATTACTGAGCAATTGGTAGTATTCAGTGTCATTTCTGAAGCTTTCTACAGCGCTGGAAGCAGAGCAAATGCTGTCTTGTTTTGGGTGGACAGGAAAGCTGTGAATTATCGTGACAGCTCTGAGAGGTGCCTCTGTAAACCAGAGTGGTGTTAAAATGAAGTTCTGCCTAGCTGAGGGGGTTTTAACACCACAACTCTTTCTAGAAGAGTCTGCTAGAATCCATCAGCAATTAAACCTCTCAGGCAATATATAACAGAGTTTTAAAGGAGACTCTCCACAAAGCTGTGAAATATGGTACTTCACTGCTTTGTACTTACATAGTCATCTATACCTCTATAAACTGAATGGGTATTTCACTCTAATGGGTATTTCCAATTCATATGTAAATGCTGTTCTAATTCGATAGCATTTTTACATACTTTACAGACTTGAAGATTTTGCATTTAAGACTAGAAATTACTATCAGGTCATTTAATACCATCTCTTTATATTGGACCCCTAAACTTTAATCGATGCTAAGTAATTTATTTAATCGAGGCGTAGGTTGTGCTCGACAGCTGCCACTAACTCCCTTAATATACCTGCAGTTCAGTGTCTCCCCTACCGTTTTATCATCATCACAGCAGTTTCCTTATTGTCACCAGCAGATTTTTCTGCTTTTCCTGATTTTTGTGACACTTTCTCTCAGGCCGCTCT